GGGGGGGGGGGGGGGGGGGCGTTTGCGAGAATTTGAACGATCGATCGAGCCTCTTTATTCTAATTGACCGCGTCGAGAGTTTAATCGAGCTCTTAATAACCGAGACGATTCGACATCACGACCGGTATCGGGCGGTATTCAAGCCGTGTCCGTCGTGCTTTTGTGCGCGATCTATTCATTCATCCGGCGAGAGAGGGAACTATGTTATTTCGTCTCGCGCATCCCTCTTCTAGTGACAGCCACTATCCCCGTCGTAGATTCCGCGTTGCTCTTCGGTCACGCCACTCTCATCCGGTACATGACGTTCGTCAGAACTCCGTGACAAATCGCGAATGTCCCGAAATTTCGGCGCGCCGCCGGAGTCCGTTAACGCCACCCGAGAGAGAGATGATCCATCTTTCTGGATTTAATTAAACACGCCATTTAGCTGAATTTATGAACCGACCCCGTATATACCCAGCCGGCTGTGTCAAAGTAGACGAGCCTTTCTTCACCCCTTTAACAGTTTAGTCGACGAAACCCTCGGGAGGAGGGAGGGAACGGGGGAGAGATCGAACGAAAGACTTCGGATAATCTTGAATTCCACGCTCCTCTCTCGGCAGCCTCACCGGCGCCATAAATAAACAAACGACGCCTGAAACCGGCGTAATTTCGATCACGGATTCGAACGCGGCCGTTGAGGAGTACGCATTCCGCGCCCGCGAGCGTCTCGGCGATCGATCTCGCCAAAATGATACCGCGTCCAATCGCCGAGTGCAAACTCGGAAATTATTTGTTCGAGTTGCAATCCTTCTCGCGCCGCCGATATACGGAGGAGGAGGAGGAGGCCTGGACCATTAATGCACTGCGTCGTACGTGACCTGGCTGTACGGGCGCGAACGTTGACCCAACACGCGGACACGCAAGTGCACGTGCACGCGCGTAACACACCATGCGCAGGCACGCACTCACGCACGCACGCAGGCATACATACATAAATACGAATGAACGAACGTACGTACGCGGGAACGGACGAGAAAGAAAGAGAGAGAGAGAGGGAGAGAGGAAAAAAGCCGGGGAGAGGACTCTCGTATGCTTGTACGACGTAATTGAATTCATGTGTGGGACGTCGATATCAGAGGCTCGCCGGCGCAGCATCGCGCACCTCGTTTACTCTGAAAATTTTGTTAGTCCGCGCGCTCGCTCGTCACGATCGAGTTACGAGGCGGAACGCGGCCGGTCTGCCGGCCGCGGCCCCCAGGACGGGGGTGTATACGCGCCGGGGAAGATAAAGTACGTAGAAAATATGACGGGAACGCGCGGAACCCGCGCGGATAGCCCGATCCCCCGCGTGCGATTCGAGAATTTCGGAATTTCGGAGACCACCGCGAAATATCCAGCGCGGAATGAACGGAGAGCCGGCGCGCGGCCGATAGGGCCGACTGGTCAGAGGGAAAGAGAGAGACGTGTGTGTACCAATTTTTCGTGCCGAATATACACCGCGAGAATCGTCGCGTCCCGAGCGTGATGGGGCAGCGGCTCGCTTCGGGAACTACGCGACTAAAATATCGCGATGGGATCCCCCAGATCGTCGTCGCCGTCGCGTCCGGTCCAGCCGGTCCGCCGAATTCTACATTATTATACTTCTCAACGCGATAATACGTAGAAAATACACTCCTCGAGTACCTCGAGGACACCGGGTGAAACGTGCGACGGGAAACGCCGAGGATATCCGCCGAGGAGAGCGATCGTCTCTATACAACGAGTTTTCATAAATGGACAAACGACTCTCCGAATTATACCTCCTTCGATTCTTCCCTCTCTCTCTCTCTCTCTCTCTACCGCCTGCTTTCTCTCTGTCGACGGGAATGATTTTACGTTCCGCGGACGGTATTACTTTCCTCGCGTTTATGAAACGCGAATAGAGGAGCGCGTCTTGTTTTATTTAAGCTATCCGTCGAGGGGGAAGAGCTATCGGCGATGAGAATGCTTGCACCTGACGGCAAATATGATAATATCGGGACGAGGACTCCGCCTTCCTTGCCGTTGCTAAATTGGCTATATATGACGTCGCCTTATATCTCATTTCCACGTCGTAATCTTTACGATGGGACGCGCGCGCGCCTAAGGTGCCGGCATCGTCGTCGTCGTACTACGCGCGATTTCGACTGCCGATTCTGGATTCTTCGTAGCATCTGCGCCTCGCATGCAGGCATCGTAAAGTATATTCGTTCTCCCAGGCGGGAAGAAATTCTCTTCACGCAGGGTCGCGCGCACGCCTGCGAATGACGTGTCTGCGCGCGGCGATAGGCACCCCTCCGTTTCCGAACGACGATAAACACGCGCTATAGACGCGGTGCCGTCCGGTTAATCGACTATGCAAATGACCACTCTCCCCTTGTATTAATTATTAATACCCGGATTTTGATGTCGCTGACAGTCGGAACGTGTCGCTGCAAGTTTTCGCCGTTTCGGATTTATGAATAATTTATGGCCCGGCGGTGGGCGAGCTGCGCGACTGACCTACGAAAATCTCAGCCACGCGGCTGCGGAATTCACAGCGGGCACACGCGATACGCAGGACGCGACGAACTTTCAATCCCCCATGGGGACAATGGGCCGGCGGTCGCTATTTTTCGTCTGTTTCTGTTTTACGTCGTATAAAGCCACGTCAAGCGCGCCGGCGGTAAACGCGCGCGCGCCTTCCAATATCCAACACATTTTAGGCAGAGCCGTGACATTTACGGGTTATCGACGTTTCCGTGCCTAGTCTCTCTCGCTAGATTGTTTATTTTATTGTCCCCGGCGATATACGGAGCGATTCAAAATCGCCGTCTTCCGCTTCCAGGGTCGGGCGAATTCAGCTGATTTCGCAGAAACGGCCGAGTGAAAGGTTAAATTGCGCGTTATCGTTTGCCACGCGATAACCGACAGAGAATGAGAACGTCGTTCCAGTTCGACCTATTTATTTCTGCCTATTTGCAACGTCTGAAACGCCGAAATTGCAAAGTAACACTGAATCACCCTATATACGATAAAAAAGAGCACGCACGCGTGCCTGTCGAATTTTACGAAGATTCATGTCGACCGTCGGCGCGTTACTCATGCTCGGGATATCGGAGGAAAGCCGCTTTAAGCACCAATTAAGGTCATTATTGTCGGCCTACAGCGGCAGTAAACGCGTGGCTCGCGCGATTTTATGTCGGTACCGATGTTACGAGCCGATGATCCGCGTAGGATTTGCCCGTTACGACGCCTGACGTCGTCGTCACGTCCCTCCGTTCCGATGGGGGACCAAATCGCAATAAAAATGTACGCGTCAACAGTCGCATTCTAGTAGCTTATTACAACGGGCTCGTGCACAGCGCGGCCGAGGACGGCGCAGGGGATATTCTTCGCTTAAATAATTCCACGAGGACTCGCCGTCCGACGCTTTCGTTATCGCCTCGCAAAAGCGCGAAACAAGCGCTTTGGAGGACGCGCGACTCGGGAAACGATCACGCGAACGTATTCGACGAAAGCACACGTTAAGAATTTACGCGACGGGAAACTTCGTTGGCTACGGAGCTACGTACAATAGTGTAACCTTGAACGATTCACCGACATCTCGGAGATAAGTCGAAAGGTGAGGAGATAATGGTTCGGACGGCCGGATAGAAGCCATCCAGAAATTGTGAGATCGTGCGGAATTCTAGAATACGCGTATTCTTAATTTCTTGGAGTGGAATTTCGCTCGATACAAATGGAAAGTGGCATTATTTTCACTCGAAACGATAGAGCAAATGCTGTCACTGTCTGAAATCGCAAATCGTGAACGTGCCATTCAAGCTTAGAATAGATTCTGACTCCATATGAATGTATATTTCACTTGGTCAAAGTAAATTTGTTCTCGCTACGGCGGGGTATATCGGATTCTATACAAGAGAGAAATGACTGAATTCCTCGATTGACTCGGCTATCAACTTTTCGAATGAAATTTCACCTCAAGAAATTCAAAGAGTATATTAAATTCGCGTTAAAGGGAAAAGCCCGTTTTAAAGTCCCGTCCAGCAAAATAGGATCTCGTGAACGATACGCACCTTTTTGGCATGAGCTGCTGCCGAGAGAACGCGTGTGCGCAATACGCTTCTTGTTTTACCCGGAGAAATGACCAGCCGCGCGCATTTCGCTCGGATCTCCTCCCACCCGCTTTCCTTGCTTTCTTGTTTACACATGGCGAATTTACGTTCCTATTTTACCCATACGCCTGCTGACATATCGAAATCGCGTATCCCACGCGGCTGATTCGCTTGGCAAGCGTCAGGCAACGTATCAATGAATCCGCCAACGAAACGACGATCCTTGCCAAGCCAGATAGAGCGGCGCGTCTCTCTCCCTTTCTCTCTTGCGAATTAACTTTGCGACAGAGCAGTAAAGCAACTCCCTGGAAGTTCTCGTTCAGTTTCTATTGGCCAAGTAGTCGCCCCCGATTCCCGCCGATTTCGAGCGGAGCGAACGTTGTCGCGAGAGGCTTACATCAAACGAAACAATACTTTTGACTGATTTTCCGAGCCCTAGTGTATTGAGAAACAAGTGTTTGCTGTTTGTTTAATAGAAATGTTTTCCTCTCAGTAATAACGTTTGTCTCCAGCAAACGATAATTCCCCGTTCGACTATACATTACCAATATTTATAATCAAATTTTATATATTTAAGGCCATCTTGAGTTTATCTTCAGATATGTTACAGCCAAAATGATCTGAACGTACAGTATATGAAGATGAACTTAAGACGATCTTATATAAGATTTAACTGTGAGTACTGACCTATATCTTGTTCACTTTGAGAATCGATTTACTCGAAATCCTCTTGCGAAAGCTGCGATTAATTAAGTAATGGTGATTTCACAGTAATGAAACACGATAATTAACTAAGAGAGAGAAAGAGAGAGAGAGAGAGCGAATTAGGAATCTCGTCCTCTCCGATTCCGCTCGATACCCCGGCCGTTCGCACTGCATGTGATATATTTCGCATGCACAGGCGATATTTATTCGGCTCTCGTGAGCCGCGCGATTCATAATTAAAGCGGCCGCACCGCGCCGATGTGTCCAGCCACGAAGAATTAAATAATCATCGGCGCCCGGGGAACATCGACTCGCCATCGGCCGGCAGCAATCGCTGCGACCGTAATTCGTCGGTCACGCGCGCCCAACGTCGCCGCATGCATATCGTTGCATTAAGGTAATCGCTTAATCGGCGAGGCCCGCTCGCCACCGCCGCCGCACTCGCAGTATCGCGCGCGCGTGAAATTCGGGAAACGCTTTCTCGATAATTACGATGCGCCTCCGCGGCGGTGCATTTTAAATGCGCGCGATCAATTTCGCGCGACCGGTCCCGCCGACTCTCCGCCGCTTGTTGCTCCATTTACAAAGGGCCGAGAGCGAGTCAAACGCACGGCCGGCGTGTGGAGCGAGCCGCGCGGAGCGAAAAGATCAGGAGAGATTATACGCACGCGGCGTTTACGTTATTCGATAAATTCCCAGCGTGTCACCTCTATTTCTATCTCCCTCTCCCCTGTCGACCTTTTTCCTATTCTCTCGGCATTCGCGTTCGATTTGCCTCCGCAAATCAATTGTAAATTTCAATCGTATTCCCGCGCAATAGCTGTCCCAGGACCGTAACGATGCAATTATACATGGCGTACTTATAAAAATTCAAATTCGGTCACGTTCAAATCGCAATTGTAATCTTGTTGAATAAAATTCGTAAAATTGGTGTGCGATGTTTAGCACGTTCAACGCACAATTTAGATCAATTTGTCTCTCCCCAAAGATGCATTTGGCATAAAATATATCCTCCGCACTCGCAACGACGAAATTCGAAATTTGCCGGAACGATGCCGGGTCTCAAATCGTGAACCAAAAGTGATATTCGCGAGCTTAAGAGCGCGGAAATCCGAGGATCGTGGAATCCTCGCGTCGCATCCTCGAGTCAAGTCGCGCAACTATAGACCGCGCTACCAATGCGAATCAATAACGGTTTAATTTAACGCCTGTTTGCAGAGCGGATCCGTGTACTATCTCGTGACGGAACTCGCGACCGGCGGTGACCTGTGCACGCACATTAAGGAACAGCCGACCGGTAAACTGGACGAGAACACGGCGCGGCTCTACGCCAGACAGCTGGTCGCCGCGCTCAAGCACATGCATTCGAGAGGAGTCGTTCACCGGTGAGTCAGCCGTGCTTTGGCGGTGGTTCGCAAATTTTAAAGCGATCTCGCGTGCCTGCGGTCCAGATTTCCTCCGAGGTTGTTCATAGCGCGACGTGGGAACAACTCGTGCGAACCATGATGTTCTCTCCCTCTTGTTCTCTCTTTCTCACTCGATAAAATAAAAGGTCTAAGAGCATTAAAGGAATCTTTAATTCGTGAGTCAATTCACCGCGACAACTCCAACATTTACCGCGAGACATCAAAGTACGGGAGAAGTATGCCAAAATACATACAATGGAAACTACTTCAATCGAGTCAAAGGTTAAACGAGGGGAGATGGAGCGAACCTTTACATACTTGCGCATACATTGTATAGGGGACTGTGTCAGGTTCGCCGAAGAGGGTCACGTTGGTGTTTCGTTTATTTTTTGTGAGAAAAACAGAGGAAAATATTTGTTTTAGAATATGCGTAACTTTCCTATACAGGAAAAAGTGCTTAATTCAAGTAAATAATTATTCCGATATTCTTTAGCAAATATTTCTATTTGGATCAAGTAATATATGCTTATTTGATCCAAATAAAATTTACTTAATCCAAGTAAAAATTTGCAAAGGAATATTAGAATAATTATTTACACGCATCTAACACTTTTTTCCATGTACTAATCGACAGAGCAACTCCTTAATATTATGCAATGTAATTAGGTCATTAGAATTCTTTGTATGCACTGTATGCATTATTGATATCTCATTTATCGATCATTCGAAAACAATGTGTCAAGCTGTTTAGTAATCTGTCGCTATAGTAACTTTACGTATACTTTACGTTAATAGCCGGAGATGAATATGGATACACACTTTCAGCAGATTGAAAGTTGCAACACTTTTATCCGGGGAATTTCTTGCAACGCCCACATCCCGTGTCCGATAACAGAATTTGTTTTTTTAATAATTCTCAAGAAACACATATTCTCATGGAATAAGAGATGCGTTGCGTAACTCATCGACAAAAATGCAATCTTTAATCTGCCGACTGTGCGTGTGTGTGGTTAGAAAATATTAGTGTAACCTAATTACACTGTTGGAGCGCTCATACTTCATAAGAAGCGTATACTTTACAAAAGAGTGCTCGAATTCATCATCATTATGCAACATCCACCGGCATGATAACGGTCGAGCGGCGGTTTCATACGACGGTATATAAATCGCCCCGGAGATGCAACAATCTCGAAGATCCGCCGCGCGATCGTTCGCCCGCGCGCTCTGTACGCTCCACGGTCCAATAATATTCAAGTGCGCGACGTGTCGTGCCTCTTTTTCCAGTTGGCCGCGGTGATGTACGACGATGTTGGCCGGCCGGCCGTGGCGTATCGTTTAAATAAAGAAATCGTCCGGCATATTACACACGAGGGAGCATTTGCGATCGCGAGCGCGGTGCGCCGCCTCCTGCGATCGCGCCGTATCGATAACGACGCGCATTCCTGTTTATTACGAGTGGAATTGCACTCGCGAGGCTGCTCGCTCGCGCTTCCCGGGAACGCACCTCGGCCTCGACCGACCGATTAAACGTGGCTTCCTGAATTAATCGGCCAGCAACGGGCCAGCAGACTCTCTCGCGTGTTGCGCCTGCGCTAATTTCGCCGGCGGTTTAATTTATCGCGAGACACGCGAGCGCGATTTCTATTTATGTAATGTATCATATTTATATACGGCTTTCCCCCCTTCCTCCCCCAACTCCGAACTCCTCGGGACTCCGTTCGCAATATCATTTCATCGCGTCCCCTACATCCTGTTCTAATATGAAAGAAAAGTCAGCGCGCCGTAATCTCGAGTCGAAACGCGAAATTTCACCCGCCGTCCCCCGCGCTTTCATACATCACCTCGCATCAGCATATTGCTTTGTGAGACGCGCGCGACGTTACCAAATCGAAATGCGGATCATTTTTTATAACGACTCCTCCCCCCACGCACACTGATTACCGGGATGTTTCGATGTCACCGCGTGTCCCTCGATCGCCGGATATTAGACGTGAAGTTAAATGCAATGATTGCAACATCGAGACGTCATTATACGGAAAATAATGTTGAATCAATAAAATCCCCAACGTAGCGTAATTGGAGTAAATCTTGTTGATTCAATAGCATATATCATTAAAATTACTATGTTATGTATTGTTTCAACAATTAAAGTATTAATTTCAATGACGTCGCTCTTGAATCAAGATTTATTCCAATTACGCGTGCTGTTAAAAATTCTATTGATGCACAGCATTTTTTCCGGTAGAGTCACTTTATAGGAAAGACATCCGAAGTGAGCACACCTTATTAACATCCGCGAAGACATGCGTCGACGGGATATTCGGCCTCGAGCTTCGCGACATCATATATATGCGTCACCCAGGTAAACAGAGGGGATTGATTTCCGACACACTCGTGAAGAATCGCGCGGCGTCTCGACGACGCTCCCTTCGCGTGCGAGAAGACGAGACGTGTAATGACGTGCACACGTGACGCGTCACGGACGGACGGACGCAAGGACGAGCTCTCGTTACTCGCGACGGATCAGCGAATATAAAGCAGCAGCCAGCCAGCAATATGGCGTACGCCATGGCAGTTTGTTTTCGTCGTGAGCGCAAAGTCTCAATCTCGGATGATAGTGATAGATCGTCGCTCACAGACTCGTACGTCAGCTCGGGGAGGAGGCGAGGATGGAAAGGGTGTCGGACTCTGCGAGGGATCTCGCGAGGAGGGTTAGGAAAATCGCTATAAGCGATCGCTTAACCCCTCGAGAGATTAGCTTGTTTCTCGTTCTCTCTCTCTCTATCTCTCCCTCTCTGTCTCTCCCATCCTCATTCTCTCGTCCGTCCGTCCATCCGAGAGAAGGAGACCCGGAGCTTTCGCTAATGGGAATGGAGAAGATTCAGCGCTAAGGATAGTTAACGATCATTGGCCCGAGGATGCGCGTCCTACCGCGTCCTTTTTGCCGCACTATGTACGCCTGTAGATTGAGACAAACGGAGCGAGCAACCGCTTTGATTTCTTCCCGACGAAGCACGTCTGTCGTACTCTCTTCCTCAAGTACGCTCTAAGTTTATCTTCAGATAGTTCGTTGATTTTTCGAATTATTATCTTATAAGACGATAATAATATTTATAACAGATAACAGCCGATATCGGCTATTGTTCAGTCAAGGCTTCTACGAAACTTCCTCGAGTCGTCCGTTGTATAAATAGCGTCTTATCAGATCGCGTTTCAGGTTAAGGCAGGTCCCGGTAGATATCGCGCGCTGATCAAGGATGTTTACTATAGCGTTTCTGTCTTTGCAAGAAAGAGATCCGCAGTTATTGATAAATGATAACGGGACAACAGCAGCTGCTCGTGGAAATGGAATTACGCTAACGTCAACCGTCGAATGAAAATTTCAGTTGTTCGTTCTGTGTTTTCGTCTCGCTCACGTTATCGTCGTCGCTTGCACCGCTGCCGCGTCGCCCCGACGGATCCACCGCCGGTTTTTCCAGGCGAGGGAAGATCGCGGGGACGACGTGGGACGACGAGGAGCAGAGGCGTCTTTTGTACATCAGCCCTCTCCGGGCCGGGACCACCGAGCATCCGCAGGCTCACGTTTTAATTCCGACGAGCGCCTCCCGTTTGCTTCGCCATTATTCGCCGGACAAAGCGGTGATCCTCGAGGCGCAAGGGCACGGACTTCCTGCGGATCCTCGAGACGCGAGGGTAGGATTACGATTTGCCCGATTTCCCGCCCTATGCCGTCGCTGTCCCGCCGAGGACAGAGAAAAAGAGCGAGAGGGAAAAGAGAGAGAGAGAGAGAGAGACACTCCCGGCGCGAAAGCCGCCTCGCATGTTTACCTACGCTTTTACTTACGCGAGGACAACCAGCCCCGACAAGTAGTAAGAGTAAACGGTAAAGCTGTAAATCGAATACCGCCACTATAGCCGGTATCCGATGGAAAGGTCGGAGACGTTCGTTTCATGGGCTTATCTAAGTACATATGACGCATCTCGGTTACAAAAGCACAGATTATTTCCCTCCGCGACTTTTCGCGCATGCGCAGAGAAAAATAATTTGCTGGCATGTCAAATTTCATGTCGCAGCAAAATCTGTTGGTTATCGCGTGGACAGCAAGAAACGATTTCTTAAGAATACTAATTGCCATTCGCTGAATTATTTTGCTGAATCTACAAATTATTTTGCTTTAAGAACAAATTAGTAAATGTGGGGAAACACTATTTTGTCCTAACAGCAAATGAACTTGTGCCAAGGATAAGTTCACACGGCAGAATATTTTCTATTCTGGCAACAAAACTGTTTCCGCTTCAATTACGAATAACTTGCTGATTTGGTCATGCCAACTAAATTTTATTGCTGTCCCGACGAATATGCAGTAGCAACGATGATTTCACTACGATAACATTATTTTTCCCCGCGAAACGGAGTAATCATATACACCTACGATCGCATCTATCTCCGTAAAAAGGTAAGATCCGATTGTCTTTGTTGTTCCATTGCCGTATCGATTTCGTCGCTCGTTCAATCTTCGCGCGAGCCACACCCCGTCCTCTGCGACGCGGAATAATAAAGTTTCCAAATATCTGCGCGAGAATAAAATGAAGAGGATAGAAATCCGCCTGTCTCTCTCCGCATACGAATGTGAGACGCGGCCAGCACCACCGCCGGCTTATTTACGACAGATTCCCTTACTCGACATGCGACTTTCCTACACGCCACTCTACATACGGTAGCCTCGAGTCGAAGTTCGCGGAAAGATCAGGCGGCGCGAATATTCAACAGAAGCAAGTACCGTTATAATCTGAGGTGAATTCGCAACGCGAGTCGCTCTCTCTCTCTCTCTCTGTGTCTCTTCCTTTCTCTCTCTGTATGTGTGCCTACGATCTCCGCGTTCATCTCGGATCACGTGCGAGGCGAACGTGGAGAGGAAAAGGCGGAAAAGCATCTCGGAAAGTATCAGCAGCGGCGGTAAAGACGTTAATGGACACAG